TAATGACAATGACGATGATAATAATTTTAATGATGACAATAATTATAATAATCATAATGATAATGGTGATTCTTGTAATAATTATAATGATGACGAAGGCAATGATGACATTGTTGATAATGATGTTGATGATTATGATAAGAATGATATTAATAATAATGATGATGATAATGATAATAATGATAGTGATGATATTAAAAATGACAGTTTTGATAATGATAATGATAATAAATAGAATAATTATGATAATAATTATGCTGATGTCAATATTCATAATGATAATGATAATGATGATGATAATCATGGTAATAATAATAATCGTGTTAATTATAATAAGGGCAGTAATAATATGAATGATGATAGTAATATTAATGATAATTATGATGAACATAATAATATTAATAATAACGTTAACGTATAATTATAATGATACTGATCATGATAAGAATTATAATAATGATGTGAGAGATACTAAAAATAATAATAATAAATTTATTAACACAAGGAACTATATACTAGAAACCATGATCATCATGACAATGACAATAATAATGGTTGCAATGTTATTATTTTTATAATGCTTATAATGATTATGACGGTAATGGCGATGATAATAGGAATGATGATGATAATAATGATAACAGAAATCATAGTGATGATAATAATAGTGATTTTAATAATGATTGTAATAATGATAATAATGCTAATCATATTAATGATAATAATTATGTTTCTAATATTTATAATTACGATGATGATGATAATTATAATAATGATAAGAAAAATAAGAATAATGATAAAGATAGTAATAATAAGTATTATGATGACGATAATGATCATGATTAATACGATAAAGATTTACACAATTATAATGATGTGGAAGATGATAATGATAATAATAAATTTAGTAACTACAAGAATGCTTTAATGAAAATCATGATTATCATGACATTAACGATAATAATGGTTGTGATTGAATAATTTCAATAATGCTGATAATGATAATGATGATAACGAGGATAATGATGATAATAATAAAAATCATAACGATAATAATAATAATGATGATAATAATTATAATAGTGATAATGATGAGGATGATGATGCTGATAATAATAATAATGACAATGATGTCGATGATAATAATAATCATAAGAGATTTACTATCATTAAGAATGCTAAAATAAAAACCATAGAAATTGTTACAATGACGATAATAATGGTGGCAATGTAAAATTTATAATGATGCTAATATTGATAAAAATAATAACAATGGTGATAATGATGATAATGATAATAATAAAGATATTGATGACGATGATAATAATGATGTTAATAATGATAATTATTATGATGTAGATAATGATATTAATGATCATGATGATAATAGCAATAATGATGATAACGATAATAATAGTCATGGTGACACTAATTATAATTATAATGATATCAATAACGATACTGATAATGATAATAATAATTTTCTTGATAATGTTGATAACAATGATGATGATGAGGATGACAGACGTAATTATTAAATTGGTTATGACGAAGATGACGTTGACGATAATGATGATGCTGATGATGATGATGCTGATAATGATTAAGATGATAACGATGATGATGGTGATAATGATAATGATGATGATAATGATGATGATGATGAGAATGACGATAATAATAATAATAGTGATGATAATAATAAGGCTCATGATAGTATTCATGATAATAATGATAATTATTATCATAATCATAACAATAGTAATTATTATCGTGTTAATAATAATAATGGTGGTAACAATGATAATGATGATGATGATAATGATGATGATGATAATAATGATGATAATGATAATAATAATGATTGAAATAATAATAACAATGATTATAATGATGATTATAATGATAATGATTATGGTGATTATGATCTGTAAAATAATAATAATATTAATAATATTGATGAGAATAATGTTTACGATAAAAGTGATGATGGTTATGTTGATGATAGTTTTTCTGATGATAATGTTTATTATAATAATAGTAGTTATAGTGATAATGTTAGTAATAATTGCAATCATAATTATGATGGTGATAATGATAACAATAATGGTATTGATGATTTTAATAGTTATAACTATAATAGAAATGTGGCGAAAGATGACNAATGATGATAATAATTATGAAAATAAAGTTAATGTATGATAATGATCATAGTGATAATAAAAATGTTGATAATGATGTGAGAGATAATGATAATAATAACAAATTTATCAACAGAAATAATAATATACTTTTAACCATGATAATCATGACAATGACAATAAGAATGGTCTCAATGTAATTATTTGTATGATTCTAATAATGATTATAACGGTAATGACGATGACAATAGGAATGATTATGATAATGATGATAACAGGAATGATAGTGATGATAATAATAGTGGTTAAAATGATAATGATAATGATGATAATAATGCTAATGATTATGAAGATAATAGTGATGTTTTTTAAAATTATAATGATGACAATAATAATTATTATAATGTTGATAATGATGATGAGAATAATGACAATGATAATAATAATAATAATTATAATAATAATAATCATGACGATAATGATCATGATGATCACGATAAAGATATTTATGATAATAAGGATGTAAAAGATGATAATGATAATAATTAATTTATTCACTACAAAAATGCTAAACTTAAAATTGTGATTATTATGACAGTAACGATAACAATGGTTGTGATGTAAGTATTTGAATGATGCTCAAAATAACAATGATAATAATAAGGATGTTAATAATGATAATAAAAATTATAACGATGATAATAATAATGATGATTATATTTATAAAAGTGATTATGATGAAGATGATGATCATGATAATGAATATGATATTGATGTCGATGATGATGATAATAATAATAAGAGATTTCTTAATAACAAGAATGCTTAAATAAAAATCATAGAAATTGTTACAATGACGATAATTATTATGGCTATGTAATAATTTCATTGATACTAATTATGATATTGGTGATAATGATAATGAAAATTGTAATGATGATGATAATGATGATTATGATAATAATGATATTGATAATTATGCTAATGCTGATGATGATGAAGATGATAATGATAATGATGATAAAAATAATTACGTACATGAGAATGGTGATAATGATAATAATGACAATCACTATGATAATAATAATAGTGATGATGACAATAATGATAATAATCCTGATGATAACGGTGATTATAATTATGATTACAATGATGACAAAAGCAATGATAATATTACTGATAATGATTTTAATGATAATAATAATAATAATATCGAAAATAATGATGATGATGATGATGATGATGATGATGATGATGATGATGATGATGATGATGATGATGATGATGATGATGATGGTGATGATGACGACGGTGAGGAAGATGATTACGATAATGATATTCATAATGATTAAGATAATTATTATGATGGCGATATTGATTATTATTAAGCTGATTATCATGATGATGATTATGGAGGTAATGCAGATAATGATGATGATAACGATAATAATAAAGATATTTAAGATAATTTTAGTATTGTCAAGCCACGTTGTAATAATTTTAGCTACACGTATGACAATTATAGGAATTATTATAATCAGCATAATACGTGTAATATTATTCAGGATATTACAACAGTTATAATAATGTTCATTGTATTAGTATTATCTTTTAGAAAGATGTTAATCCTGGAATCTATTGTTTTAGTGATAATTTTAACAAAACAGATTATCATTAGTATTGAAAGTTATAGGTGTTATTCTCCCGATTCTGGTTTTCATATTTTTATTTGATTAGTGTATTAATAGGATATTAGTTTTTTTTATTCAAACAGTGTTACAGATCTAAATTTAAATCTAATATAATTCTTTTCAGATGTGATGGAAGTTTGTAAGCTGGAAATAGTCTTTGAACCCAATATATTTTATATCGTTCAAATTTTTGGTCTTATTTTAATATTTCTTTCTTATACATATTCAAAAGTTTTGTTTTTCAAACGTAGTTATGATTCATATCATTGTAATTTATAAGATTATCGTTGAATATGGGCATTTTTTTAAACATTTTTTGTTGTGTATTGTTACTAGCCGTTGCAGTTATCTTTATTTTTGGTATTTTATTAATTTTTATTTTAGAAGGAGCCTGTATGTATTGTATTTACTTTAACATCTTTGAAAAATTAAATGAAAATTTTTAATACTTAAAAAAAGTAGATCAAATTGTTGAGTTTTTTATTGGAGCATATTAAGGTTTTTTTTTATAAATAGTATTTTCTTAGACAGACTTCATTAATAAAAATTTGTTTCTTAATCGCATATTTTGTTACCTCTGCAATTCCACAAAGGGTTTTAAGCAGTTGTTGCTTAATTATTGCATTATTTATCAGCTTAACAGGTTATGTCACTTTTTTTGTTAATCATGGTGGGTAAACAAATAAAAAGTATTAACACAAATAAATCGTTGTTGAATGAAAATGAATTTATATTTATGCTTATTAATTTTATTTTAGCTATGCAGAATATCTCACAATTTTAAATTTATTACTNTTTTATGGCAAAAATCTGGAGCTATGCAGAATATCTCACAATTTTAAATTTATTACTATATTACTCACATGTTAAACTATTTTTTTTCATATCTATATGATCCTTAGTTTTTTGCATTTTTTAAAAAGAGACGTTTTCAAGTTATTTACAAACAAAAGAAATATAAGTTTCAACTTTCTCAGCATTAACCATTAATAACTTGTAAGAAACACAATAATTTTTCTTACAGTTTGTATACTGTTTGTTTAACTTTAAATTATTAATTTTAAATAACACACTTTTGATATAAATTGTTTTCCAAGGTTAAACTTTTGTTGTGTTTTGATTTATGTTGAACAAATCCTGATTTTATAACAAATTTTTATTTTTTCAGACTATTTGATGTTGGTGGACAGCGGAGTGAACGTAAAAAATGGATTCATTGCTTTGAAGATGTTACAGCTATCATTTTTTGTGTAGCTATGTCAGAGTATGACCAAGTTTTACATGAGGATGAAACTACGGTTGGTAGTATTTTACTTATTTTTGAATTACTAGTAGTACTAAACTAAGTGCTTAAAATTTTGTTCGCATGAAATACAGTAAAAATACAAAGCTTCCCGTAAATCTTATACACTAGCAAGAAGCACTTCTTTAACAAGCTATTGTTGTTAGATAATATTTAAAGATAAGAGATAGCTTGGATGTAATTAATTTATGATTTACTTTTTGGGCAATAACTTTAAGCATTTAGGAATGGTTATAAACAAAAATTATCAAGCTCACTCCGTGATATTTAAGCAAAATACAATGTAAAAAATCAGTGATAAGTAATGTTGGTTGTAGGGGACGAAAATACACTTTGTCGTGGGAAAATAAAATCAACTTGCCTAGGCATACAAAGTTCTTTAAAGTTGAAGAAAAAGATAGGGCAGTAGCTTTAGAGAAAACAAAAATTTATATCAAACTTGACTAGTGGGGCTTAGCTTCCCTGCACGCACTACGTGCTATTCTCTGAAAACATCAGTCAGTATCATCGAGGCAGCATACGTTTGTCTACCCACGGCGCCCCTTGCAATGCTCATCAACTAAACTCCAGTGCTGGCTGCAATGGTCAAAAATTTGATGCTAAACGGAGCGTTCAAGCAGTATGTCGGTGAAGCCTAGTATGGCCTAGTACCACCATTGATCAAGTCATAAACTGATATTTAGTCTTCAGGGTAACAATAAATAATTTTTTTTTCTATCATAACACTTAATAAAAAATCTAAGAGTTTGAAATCTTACTAAATAAGATAGTTAAACATTCTTCTACTGGTCGTATATTTTTAAAAGAACATTAAAATTTTCTTATATCAACTTTTCCTACCTCGATTTTGTAATAAAAAAAGGTAAAGTTAATTTTTTATATTTCAGTAACGCGTAATAACTTTTCATGTCAATTTAAACATTTTGTAAGGTGAGAACTTTCTTAGGCGAACCTTGGTTATGGACCGAAACGGTAGAGACGTATGTTCGTACGTACTGACATATATATACTGCATTTCGTGGCACTAGAACTCCATCATTTGCTTCTGGATTCCGCTATACATATATTTTCCTATATTATACAGTCGTCAGAGTTAGAGCGAGGTTTAGCACCCCCCCACTCCCCCCGCCACCCNTAATCCTACTTTTTGCTAATTCCCCCCCACTCTTACCCATCTCCCCCTTAATCCCCTCCAGCTCCTCCCATACTCCCCCCCAGCTCCCCCCATATATAATGTAAATAAATTTGTGAAGCCTCATCTATTAACTGTTACAAATGGTCTAATTTTCACATGTAAACATGATATTTTATTTGACCATAACAAAAAATTTGGTTACAGTTAACTTACTTACGATGTTTATTTTAGTTACACACTCTAAAATGTCTTTTGCGGTGCTCTGCTGTTAGGTAACATTTCCCACAATTTTGACAAATATTTTTTTTAACGTCTTTTTCTTGACTTTTCAAATGACTTTGCAAGTAATTACTTCTTTTAAAATATTTCCCGCATTTAATACACTTTAAATTTTTCTCAATATTTTGGCATTTCTTTGTATGATGCAAATAGTTTCTCTTCTCTTATATTATGATTTATATTATGATGCTACATAGATCACGTACAAAAAATTGTTTGTGTGAATTTTTTCGTGTGATGATACACACTCTTAATTTTAAAATTTTCAGTAACATTTGTCACACTGATAAAATATTGCATTTATGATAGTGTATCTCAAAGCATTCGACATAAAACGGATTGTTTATGATTTCATAAATCTGGGTACTTAGTGGTACTGAAATTTGCTTTTTTCAGGAAAAAAAAAATTCGCAAGAGAGTATAAAAATAGTAATGAACTATGAAATAGTTTTTTTGTAACTCTAAAATTTCGTTCCAAACAAGATTTTCAATTTCAAATTTTGTTTTCTGATTCAATTTGCATAAATAATTTTTTTTTGCTTCTACATCTAGACAATGCAACATAAAATTGCCCGTGAGAAAAAAATGGTTTTGTAAGGTATAAACCTAAGGCATTAAAACTTTGACTTTAAGATTTATTGATAGACATAAAAGAAGCTAAGGTATATGGAAATTGATTTCTATAAAATATAAGTGGTATTGAAAAAGAATTTCTAGTATTTAGTGTTATTCTTGGAATAAAGACTTAATTTCCATTTCTCCACGTGCAATTATTTCAGCTTTGATGTTGTATTTAAATAATTATGTAATTCGTCATCTTGTACCCTTACAAAGTCATTTAGATACGATTAAGTTTTGTATTAACATAACAAAATCGCTTATTTTCAAATTTAATTCGTGTGGAGGGAGACCTTCTTTAATACTATTTAAATATTCTGTAGGGCAATAATTATAAATAATATCGACTGATTTACCTACTCTTATGTAAGTTGATTTATTAATACTTTAAGACGTTACAAATGTTTCTACCATATTACTTAAAACTTTTTTGTTCCAATAATGAGTGTATTTATTGTGAATTGCTAATATAGCTTTACTATAAAAAAATCACCATTATTATTAAAAATTTTAGAACATACATCATTTGTCTTACATGTCTGAGGAATTATAAAAGTTTTTATTTTGCCTTCTCCTATATCCAGTAGCAATGACGAAAATTTTTTATCAATTGAACGAATATTATTTTTTGAATTAAAAATCATTTAATAAAGGCCAAAAATTGGAAAGTTTTATGGTTTCTTGGACAATGATAATTTTGCCTCCGTTTTTTACTACTGGGAGAATTTGACGAAAGTCTCCACCTAAAATTATTATTTTATTTCTAAAAGGTTTATTACTACAAGATAAATCTTTTAAAGTCCTATCAACGATTTCTATCTCTTTTTTCGGTATCATAGAAGCTTCATCCTAAATCATTACTTCTGCATTACGTTATTTTTGTTTATCTGGCTTAAACTGGAAGAATGCACTTTTTATAGTGCTTAAGTCTAAAGAAAGTCTGAAAGTTCTGTAAGTGGTTATTCCCTTTGGGAGCAGAATAGAAGCAATACCTGTCCAAGCCATTGTAAGAACTTTTTTTTCAATTGATATAAAATACCTGTACCAGTACACATTTTCCTTGTACAGAGTATCGAAAATACTTGTANCTCCAATAAGTTGTATTTAATTTTATTAAAATAAGAATAATTTATATATCTTTTCTCATAATTACAAATGAAAGACCCCACGTTCTAAAGCTGTGTGACTTTGAGACAATACGAACAAAAGTAATTATGTTTTGAAAGGGCTTATACATTTAAAATAAAATATTGCTAAAAACATTTAAAAAAACGTAAAAATGTAGAACTATTTTTGATAACCAATGTATAGTGCATTAGCGTTAGGGAGAATGATATATTAAGAAGAAGACACTCTTTTTTATTCTAAAATTTACTACATAAGGTGGTATTAGGTGGTTATACGTTACGGTAAAAATGAATGAAGATTAGGTATGAACATTTGAAAAAGAGACAAGAGAAATACTTGAATGATAATTCCACATAAGGGTGAATAAACTTGCCAAGAAGAGAATCTATCGCTTAATTGAAAATCACAAATACTGATTAGCCTTACAAAATCCTCACCAATTAACGCACAGTAAAAGTCAAATAACCTACCGCGGATTTACAGAACTTTTTAGAATAAAGTTAAGTTCTTTATGTCTCTAACATATTATTTCCATACTAACAATTAATTTTGTGATTTTTAAGGCCTTAAAAAATAATAATACAAACCTTATTTTGAAAAAATTACACTCTTAACACAATAAAAGGGGGGGTTGGCGTGCGGAGCGCGCAGGGGGGGCGGAGCCCCACTAGTATATATATAAATATATATAGTCAGCATGTTGTGTTATGTATATATCTATTAACGTGTTGTAGTGTGAGACTAAGTGTAGTATGTATGTATACATACACGTATGTATACGAGTGCATAACTATTGAGTACATAATGCACCTGCACGCATGTGCGTTTATTGTATAGTAGTTAACATTAATACTATAATGCTTGTGAATATTATTATTCTACTCAAGTAAATGATGAAAAATTTTTTGTATGTATAACAGATTAATACAGACAGTAAGTACTGGTTAAACATGTTTTTGTTATATGACTTTACCTTCAAATATTTAAAAATTCGTTATATCTTTTAACGGTATCATAGTAGAGAAATAACGACGAGAGTTGTGCGGGTTTTCCTAAAGGGGTTTTTGAGCCCATGGCAATTAAAAAAGAAAGGTGTTGAAACATCTAAAAACGTAACCTTAACTTTTCATGTTTTTGATGTATTTTTATAAAATGAAAGAGGAAAAATATGGAAAAATTTCTGTGACGTTGAGTATAAAATAATCATTATCCAGAAATAATTTTTTATAGTAATGCATGCACATAACCTTCAAATACGAAAAAATACACGATATATTTAAAATTAGGCAAAATAGAGCTAAATTAACAAATTTTACTGGTTTTGTAAAGAAAAAAATATTATCGTAGCATACAAAAAGAGAAGTATTTAGGTAATTGAAGACATAACTTTAAATTTTTATATTTTCAATGTTTCCCTACAAAATGAAGTTGTAATGTTTTAGAAAAAATTATGGCATGTTTGCAAAATTATTAGAAATGTGTAGGATATAATCTTTGTTTCTTTGCCAATATACAAATAATTTAAAAAATGCTAAATTGCTAATGGAAAGATAGATTAAAAATAGATTAATCAAACATAACTACTTATATGTATGCGCGCGTGTGCAATTCCAATAAGCAAGTCCATTATCAATGAGAATTATGTCAATGGGCTAATCAAAATACTGGACCTTCATGGCCACAGTATAAGTACTGTATATTTTCCAGAACACACATCAATGAGCTTGTTTATAAAAGATTCTTCCAGTTTGTGTTCAAATTTGTTTTCGTTATTGTACTTATACATCAATAACTTCTTACCTATCACTTATTCAATCATAAACTAATGCAGTCTC